GGTTGAAGAGGAGGAGGATATGTGACCTTTAATCATCTCTCGTACTGTTTGCAGCAGTAATCATTCACTGTCTTTGGTTATGAGCTCCCTTTAATCTAATTACTGTGTGAGCTCGGAGTTGGAAAAATAATTTAATCAAGCTGTTCCCTCGCTTAATATTCCCATTTTCTCTCTGTTTTGCATACTGCGTTTGTTGGCAGAGTAAATAATAATTATGTGGTTGTTTCCCTGCAGGCAATCAGCATTCATCAAAATTCACGTCTTATCCAAATATCAGTTCACAGAAATATGACCATAATGAAAGTAATAATTATGTTAAGATGCTTACATGGCCATGTTGTAATAGAAGCAGCCGGAGGCAAATGACAATCAGTTTCATCAGAAATCACTGTGTGCACACTTAAACTGAGCACGAGTGTAATGTTCTGCTGGGCATGTAATGAGCTTAATCCAATTATTCTCGTGATCAAAGACAGAAACAACTATTCTGCGTAGCTTGTCACGCTTAATGGAGACGCTTCTCATTTTGTCTCAAACTCCCTTCACAATTTTCTTGTTCATATTTAAGAGAAATGTGGTAAAAAGACAGACTTAATCCTCTTAAACTTGTCTACCGTTTGTCACGGTGAGGCTGCACATTTAAATAGGTTTTATATTGGTAAAATGTAAAGGACCAACACAAAAATTGTGCTTTTCTTTTGAAGAGGGAGAAACATTTAACGTCATTCAAATGATTCACACAATCATAAATATGAAAAGCTCCGACTGCTTTGTGGTGGAAACCCCAAACTCAAGATGCAAACACATGTTTTGAAAATGGGTACTCGTGCATCCAACAGATTTCTGCTTCATGCTCTTGTTAGTTCGGCAAACAGTTAAAGCTCAAATCAGCCTGCTTCAATTCCAGAGGGGAGATCCATGGGTAAGGGAAGCATGTTGAGCATTAAGAGTTTTTAGTCTCACAAAGCTGGTTTTCTTTTTACCCGGCTTGATCACCTTGGTCCCTTAAGCCCACTACACAAATAAACTGCTACACTTTTTTAGATCATTTCTGGACACCTGATATTGTCAGGAACTTCACCTCACAGCAGGATGTTATCTGTGTTGGAGAAGCTCTCACAACTCAAACTATTCAGTAATGTCTCCGGAGACTTCAGTCATGGTGACAGTTTCTTTGTCAATATGGTGAAATTGTAAATTCACTTGAGCTTGTAAAGTGCCTTTCTAGTTCTCAAAGTACTACACCCCAGGTCACACCTACCTATTCACACCACAAGTTTCAGAAACTTAGGGGAAATACTTCTGTTAAGTATAGATTTATGTGCAGACTTTAAAGCAATCAGAAACAATGAAACATATATATCTATGTATGCATACTTTGTGCTTGTTGTATTTGAATAAATTAGCATTCAATCACATCTAGCTGATTGAAAGTATAGTGCACTCCCCGCAGAGGCAAACTCTATTATCCGACCCACGTCTAAATATACGCACAACAATCTCAGATACATATACAATCAGCAACAATCAACATTAACATTGACTCAATTATAATATACACACAGGCAGAGCAGCGTGAACTATATGCAGCCACATAAAGCACCTGCATAAAGAATTTTAGTACAAACTACGTCAGACGGCCTGATGCGCTGATAGACTCTATATTTGACATTTGAACGACTTATTACAGCTGGAATAAGATCTTTCTTACCCAGGTTCGAATGAATGTTCAAACTTCGAATAAAAAATGTTGGACCATTTAAATGTCCCACCATGACGTATAAGATACTGTGTGTGTCTGTTGCTGTTCTTTAAATCTTATCACATTGTTACACTTTACCTTTTAAGATCCTCGATGCTAACGATAGCCAGCTTAAATGATCTCATATAACATCTTGACTTAAACGCACAGTATGCAAATGCAGCTACCAAGGGGCTCAGAATCAAAACAAAAAGATGACATCAAGGCTGCCGGGGAATCAAGGGAGTCATCTAAAATGTTGGCTACGTCCTATTTACCTGCTTTTATTGTGACACGACACGGTTGAAAATTCACTCCTATTCATTGTGTATCTTTCAGGCATTGCACACAAAACCTCTCCTAAATAGCAATAATAAAACTGTTCCTGCAGGTATTCCAGTGTTCTGGCATGAAAGCTGATACAGTGTGAGCACGCTGCTCTGTAGGATGAGAGTGCTGCTTTTCTGCGTATTGATCTGCTCATGCAGCATTCCCTTCTTCTTCTTCTGAGGGACCTGTCTCTGATCTGAACCAGCTTTCAAGTGTGCAAAAAAAAAATAACCTCAAACAATCTGACTCAAAGGCACTTTTTTGTACTGTTCATCAAGCGCAGAGCCAAGCATGCACATCTTTCAAAGCCTAATGATTTTCTCTTCTTGATTTTCCATCTGAGCTGCTCTTAATTCAGCTAAGATATGTTCGATATAGATTACACACTCAGGGGCTGATGCAGAATCTAATTGTTTGTGCAGGATTTCAAATGCTGCAGGAAATAGCTCTCTGATGAATTTTCAGGCAGATCTAAATCCTACAGGAAACTGTTTCATCAGAATTATTTGTTAAAGTTAAGACCAATAAATAAGGAGCATATTTCACAATTAAACCGTTAAGAGTTAAACAGATATTTCTATAAAGATCATATGATCCACCGAGGGTACAGCCATGGAGCCAATGAATGCAGACTGTTGGGGGTTCTCTCTCTGTCTGCTTTGTTTGGCTAGTTTGGGTTTTAGATTTGGTTTGCCTTTATCCATGCTGGGCTAACACTACTCTTAATATTAGTCATTTCTGATGTGTTGAAAAAACCAGCGTACAACATCACTGACAGGACAGCCTAAAGCTTCCACTTCCTTCCTGAGAAACTTTGACTAATTTACCTTTAGAAGGTAGAAGAAAAGAAGAAGATATCCTTTATTAATCCCACGAGGGGAAATTACTTTTACACGGTTATTGAGACATGCTACACACACATGAAGAAACAGGACGATTGCACATGCAGTAATGGAGAGATGTCAGAGTGCGGGGGCTGCACATGAATGGTTGGAATTCGGTGCCTTGCTCAAGGGCCCCTCTGCAGTTTTCAGGAAGTGAACTGGCACCTCTCCAGCTACCAGATCAATTCCAGACTTGAACCGGCGACCCTCTGGTTCCCCACCGGACCCAATCCCTACAGACAGAGCTGCTACCTCCCCTTCACGGCAACTTCCTGATACTTCCTTGAAGCGGGCGGCCCTGTTTGATGACTCGTTAGCTGGCTCAGGCTCGGCTTAAGCATCTAGATTTCTGAGAAGGACGATAGCAGCGTACTGTTGCGGTTGCGGAGCACCTGTGCATACCAAGCAGGTCATACAGCAGCTGAAACAGGCAGCAGTAAGCTGAAGCTATTTAAAGCATGAAAGGGTATTGGGCTTGATTTGAATTGAGCTTTACAGGATACTGAAATCACTTTATGATGATGCAGATTTATAAAAATGAAAAGTTTTGACTGCAAGAGGATGAGCAAACAACTTTCCAGAGATCTACTTTTGAATGAACTATTTCTAAACTTCAGCCTAACAGGAACATCTCAATGCCGACAGGTGAATGAATTTTTTAACTTGTACATCAATAACCTGATTTTTTTAAATTCATGCACTTTGTACTTCCTGCTGGCTGTCACAGATTTGCACCTGTGCACTGATTTGGTATGAAATCAGATCATGTGTAAGATTTTCTTTTGGTCGTCACATGAGCGTGTGCTCCTCTGGCTTCATGACTCTCACCATCAGTCTGAACAGATTCTGCTAAATTGTCCCTCTTTGACTCTGCTCCTTGAAACCTGGGAAACCCTGCAGCAGGAACTGAAGCTGTCTAACCCAAATCCCTTCAGGGAATTTAAAGTGTTTTAGAAAAGAGAGAATCTGCTCGGTGCTTTAAAATCTTACAGCCACGTCAGTACTTTACGTTTTCATGTCTCGTTCTTTGTAGTTAGTCAGCGTATTGCTTGAACTGTTTGTCAGTATCGCTCTGTTATTCTGCTCTTGAACAGGTTTATTTTGAGAAGTTGATAATAAAAGTACAAAATAACTGTTATAAGAAAACAAAAACAGGTTGACCAATGGAAGCTGTCTGTTGTGATTATCAGGATCAACAAAGGGTTAACACAAACCAAAGAAAGAGTAAATACATCTCCTGCTGCTGTTTAGGTTTGAATCAAGATTCAGGATGAAAAACTAAATTTAGAAAACTTCAAAAAGCATAAAATGTACCTGCAGCCAGATTAAAGCTGCTATCTGTGTTTTCATACTGTCTTTGTTGTGTTAGAGATTGACAAATAGATTCACTGTGTGTGTATCAGGCTGAAGTATCACTATCTCTATGGTTGGTTGATTTTATTCAGTTAATTCAAATCTTTCTCATATGTCCATACACTGATGATATTTTGTAAATTCGTATTTCTTTTTTTCCTGTTTATGAGTTTTAAAGGCAGAGTTGGACATTTTCTACAGAAAAAAGTTTTAAGATTCTGGTTGAACTTGTCCTTAGGTCCTGACAGAAATTAATAACTCATGTGCTCTGAAAAAGGAACAAAGAAAAATCTGTCATCTGAAGCAGTTGTAAGCCTGTAAATACTTTGACCAATAGACTTAATCTTCTTTTTGCATACCAAAGACATACAGGTAAGTGTGTCTTTTGCACGAAAACCAAAGACGAAATCAAATAGTGTTCAATGCTTCTGTAATGACAGTTTTTGGCAAATTAGAGAAGAGTTCAAGATGTGACTAGATGTGTGAGACAAATATCTTTAACAAATCTGCATTCACTTTGTACACTGGATACTCAAGTCAACATGAAACTTCTCTGTGATTCAGCTCCACAGACGGCAGGAGGTTGTACCTCGTCTTGTTCAACATGCACTCTGCAGAGCATCCCTAAACGCTCAGAAAGCACGTCCTGTCTATTCATACTGCACATTTCAAAACTGAGCAAATGTTCAGACCTTGACTGTAGACTGGAGCAGCTCAGCATCCACGTCCCTGCATGTCGTTCTCTCCTCCTCTGCTGCTTCCTTTTGCCTCCGAGCTCCAACGATCTCATCAACACAGCTTTAAAAACACACCTAAAGGTGCTGCTGCTGTGTGCACACAATCACTGCGCCACAGACTGAATGAACGAGGTTTACAGGTGTAGCTGCATGTCCCGAGAATGCACTCCAGAGCTGTGGCTGTGCGCCGGTGCTCCCAGACTGAGATGTGAGAGAAGAAGAGAGGACAGCTTATTTCACAATTAAACCCTCCCTCCCTCCCTCTCTCTCTCTCTCTCTCTCTCTCTCCCTACTCTCCTCCTCCTCCCACTGCTCCTCGTCTCTCTCTGTCACTCGGCTACTCGTCTTATTCTTCTTGCTCCCTCTATGTTGGCATAGAAAATCCTCTTCTTCCTTTTTCTTGCGTTTTCTATTGATGCAAGTTATTGTCTTATTTGTGCAGGAGAAATAGAGGAAGAGTCTGTGTGAGTGTATTTCTGTTGGACTGAAGGAGTCTCTGATTTGAGGGAAACAACCCCCCACCACCACCTCCTCCTCCTCCTCCTGTGAAACTCACAGCTCCTGGCATCTACCAGAGAGGACTCGACAGAATGTAAATCTAAATGAAAGAAAACTTAAATGACTGCAACAGGATGAGAAGGATAGACATGGAGAGGCTTCATGATTTTCTCCGACAAAATGATCCTGAAAAGCATCTGAAAAAATGTCCCACTCTTCATGAAAGCAGCACAGTGAAAAGCCTCTGATTTAAATCGCCCCAGAACGTGGGACGCAATTACATTTTTTGACATTGACATATCGCCCCCGAGGAACCATTAAGTGCGACTTTTTCCTCTCTTTGAAAGGTGTGACATTTAGCAGGAGTGCTGAGCTGCAGAGGCTAACCCACCAAACTTCAGCCTAACCTTTTCTAAATGATGGTCTGTGGCCAGGCTTCATGTTGCATGGCTGTAATTGGAAAACAATATTGAAATGCCTCACAGGAAGAGTTAAAAACCAACAGTGCTGTGTATACAGTAATGGACTCTGTGATGAGCTTTAGTGATAAATGGAAACAGAACTCTGTTTGGTACTGATTTGTGCACTTCAGCCAAGAAGTGATGGAGTGAAATAACCAAGTAAAGCCATTCATCACATTTTGACTTATTTCTCTTTTTGCTCCTTTTAAACCACACTCAAAGAAAAAGGTGCACTCAACAGCTGCACAACATATTCTCGACCTTGTCTATGAAAATCTGAGGTATTACCTGAGGTTCTTATTCTACTTGGTAACACCTTTTAATTGCTTCATTTCCATAATCTGGCAAACGAAAAGGTTGATATGTCCTGAGATTCTGTCATTTAGCACATTACCATAAATTAAACACAGAGGTCATTGCCTACTGGTATGACATCACTTTACAAACATGTACGGGCAAAGTTTTTATTTAATTACTGTGTTTTTCTTACTTTTCCACATGACTTAAAGGACGAGTATCAATATTAAACCAGTGACAGATACAAGTAAATACAGGTAGATGTAATCTGATGATAAGACTACCCTGTGGCATGATGCCGATCACGGCTCCATCAGCTGCTCCCGACCAGTCGGATGAATTTCAGAGATGTTTGATATTTTGGACGTACAACTGCACACACTCGCACAGTGAGCAGAGCCACGAGCTGATTCCACGACTTTGGGACAAACTGACGGACAGCGTCCGAATTCACCATGACAACAGCATGGAAAAAAAGGTTGGTAGGAAATATGTGCCGACCTCCAGCTGACAGAGAAAATGTGTTTGAATTAGCTTCTAGCTGGCTTGTGTTTATTAGTGATGCTGAGTGTGTGTGTGAGTGTGTGTGTGAGATTTGTGAAATACACAAATCTGACTTCATTCTCCGTCTATTGAAGGATTTTTATGGGAGGATTTTTTGACAGTTGCGAACTCGTACAGTTTATATGTGTGAGCCGACGTTCCACCACGACTTTTCTTTAGTCATCCAGCGCACGCTCAGCTTTAGTGAAGCGCTTTGAACCCATCATGTTGAATCTCAAACTCATGTCAGCGGCTGTTTTAATTTTTGATCTGTATTCCAGCGACTTTTAAAATCCCCTTAATAACATAGTGAAAGGACCTTTTCAGTACATGTTGATTTTAGATGGAAGCATGTTGTCTTCATTAAAATATAAAATGTTAATCTTACGCAGTCAAATAAAGGGAGTCTTGTGTAATGATCCGTTCATTTTGAATCTTAATGAACATTTCACAAAAGGCTGTGGGTTTGTGTCTAACAATATAAAACATGTACATTTGAGTGCAGGTGGTTTTGATTCATAGCGGTGAAGTATTTCTGGTTATGTATGTCTGCACAGTTTGCCTTGGAAGAGGAACAAGTAGGTCAGAGCGCCGGGGGACCCTGACAGCATTCTGACAGACTTCCAGATCTCCTGGAAGTTGGTCTCCAGAGGGGTGAAGGCAATATTTAGGGCAAAGCCTCACACAGTAATCTGCTTCCTGCAGCTATTGCATAAGAGAACCAAGAACATGAAATATAAGTCTGCTTTTATTGATTTATGTTTGACAAAAGAAAAGGAGATAAATTCTGTAAATATAGGAAAAGAAGAGCAGCTGGATAACGACTCACGCACAGATGGATCGATGATTCAGGAAGTCGTCTGATCCGCAATATTGTTTCTGTTTGGCTGACAGATGAATTCAAGTACAGTTGAGTTATTGCATTTCTAAAATAAGTCCCTCGTGGGCATGCATCATACCTCGGCACTGCTGCTGTTACCAGACAACAGACGGCACAAGTGTGGCAATGGAGGGAAAAGAGGCAGAGAGGCAGGGAGAGAAAACAAGGCAGAGGAAGTAGGGAAGATAAAAAAAAAAAACGGGGGCTCGGTAAGGCTGAATGGTCGGGTGTTTTGTCTCTGTGTGTCTCAATGGGCAGCCTACAATGTGTGTTAATTCATCCTTCACAAAGAGCCTTGAAGCGATCCGTTCCCAAACCAGAAAACAAATCACTTCCTCAGCTCACTTGATATTCTGGCTCTGACTCTTCGGTCTTTGTGTCGGGAAATCAACGCTGGAATAACAAACAGGTTCAAGTTAAAGGTGTGGTTCACTTACACGGAGGTTTGAAGGTCTTTTATCCACTTTTAAGATATCCTCGGAGGTCAACCACTCAATCTGTTAGGTTAAAGGCCTGAGGCATATTTCCTGCTTTTGTTGATTTGTGAGTATGTGACTTCTGAAATTAGATCGTATTTTTTGTTTCTCTTAGCCTGGCTGTGCACGGCTAATGTAAGCATAAAAAAACAATAGAAGTTTCAGCATATCATGATCACCTTTCATGTTGTCTGTGAAACCTATAGAGCATCTCTGCATGATTTGCAGCTCAATAAACCTCCTTATTTATCTCATACTGGCATCAGTAAAAACACTCATTTCAGCCTCTCCCTGGAAGCAGTTTCTGCCCACTTTCTTCTGATTGGCCGGTTCCCTGGAAGCCGCCCGGGGGCAGAACGCTGCAGCGCTGCCAGAGAAGGGCTGCTCTCCAGTGATAGGAGCAGAGAATCTCTGTAAGAGGTTTCAAGAGCTAACGTAGAGGCTAGCCGTCTCGTGAAATTCTCGTGAGCAGGATTTTCACAACAAGCCGTTTAGCGTCCTCTGCAGTGTCATCCTGAGATTACTCCAACATACGTTTACCTCATGAGCTGAAACTTTTCCCATGTTTAGTCCGAGCATCCAGCATGGTAACACTATATGTGAGTTTCCTGCTGCTCTTACATTACAGCCCCTTTCAGCTTATTGTTTCAGTTTTCCAGTGTGAACCCATTGAAAGCTACTCGCTCAGCAGCATGCATTGCAAAGAAAACAAGGGTATAGGTGTAATACATCTGTAAATAAGTGGCTCAGCCCCTTTGAAAACACAGTTCATACAATGTGGACAGTTCTTTGGTTCGGCATTAAGAAGCCCAGCGAGCCCAGGAAGTCACCAAATTGGGAACGATGACTCCAACTGACTTCCTGCTAATCAAGAAGCAGTTTTTTATGCTCAAACAAGGAGGATGTTTTAGTTTGAAGTCCTTTCTTTCATTTTTGAGATTTTGGTTATTGGATAGGACAGCTGAAGAGAGACAGGAAATGTCAGGAGGGGTGTGGGGGGTGACATGTAACAATTGTCAGAGATCGGATTCAAACCCACGGTCACTACGACGAAGACTATAGGCCCTACACGGGGCACGCAACATAACCGCTAGGCTATCCGACACTTCATTGAAGTCCTTCCTTGGCACTTTTAGTGTTTCCATCTAAAGAAAATGATCTTCACTTAAACAAGTAGATCAATACAAAGAGGGATGAAAACCAAACTGGACAGGTTATTACACAAATTCAAAAGAAACTCATAAAAAAAACATGAAACTCTGAGCAATGACTTGTGCAGAGATTGTTATTATGATGATGATATTTCAGAGCAGTAAAAGCCCAATCACGCTGACGTCCATATGTGTCTGTTCTTTCATCTTTTGAGCCAAGGCTTGGCCCAAGGTTATTTTATATCGTACTATGAATTATTAATGAACCAAATGGCCTTGCTTCATTATTCAATAACAAGCGGTGCAAGACAACTGTCTGCTCCGTGTTGGTGTGCCGGGGTTTGAGGGTCCAGTAAGACTCCTGTGTGAGCTCAGACGATGAATATTTAACCAAAGGACATAATCCATAAATTATGTAAATGACGAGTGATGAGGGCATTATATTTGATCTGTAGACTGTGTTTTTTAATCCATGTGATTGATGTATTTTTCATTCTTCTTCTTGTGTTTCAAAGTAAGTGCATTCCCCACAAAAGGCTGCAGGATGAGTTGTCTGTGTTCTTCTGTTTGTTTTTGGGATCTTCTTTCAGTGCAGGGTCAGTCTCCTAAAAGGTGTCTAAATATGACGCAGCAGGTAATCCTCGATCACCTCTCCTAAACGCTCTCCTCTACCTTGTTGTTTTGATGTAGCAATCAAGTCATTGGATGTCTTATGAAGAGCTCAAAAGTCCACCTGGGATGATGGCTTTTTACTGTACATGATGCTCAAGCTGTGTATAGTGTCATGGTACGCTTTTCTGCCTCTTCATGTCGGTTGGTTATCTCTCGGGTAGTTTTCTATCTCGCTTTAATTCCCCTCTTCCTCTGAAAATCTAATTTTGCATAATAAACACATTTTGAGATTTCTGCAGCGATCGCCATGGCATTGATAATGACCGGAAATGGTTTCTGTTGTGCCGTTTCTATCCAACTCCACAAAAACATAGATATTACCTAAATATGACCTCTAAATTCCACCAGATGCGTGTTTAGTCCGTCTCGGCTGCCGTAACAGAGTGAAGCTAATAGATTTTATTTTATTCAATGTGTGTGTTTCCTCTGGCTCCGCTGCGCTGCGTTCCAGCTTCGTCAGTCCAGAGCCTTCTGCAGCAGATGCGCTTCTAGTTTTGCCGGATCCTGGAGCACGGCGCATCAGTTTACAACAGAAAATATCCAGCAGGACAGGAAGTCAGACACCGAAAAAAACATTAAAACGTCCGGTCAATTTTCTGAAAAAAAACAAACAAAAAAAACACTCAGTTATGACAGTTGAGAACAACGACCGTATGTGTGTTTGTTGATGATTTTAAAGGGTCTTATACGGTTGTATTTCACACTGTACATCCTATTATTTCGTGTTGTTGCAAGTGGATCTGTAAAAATTACTGCAGGAATTATTTTGCAGCACTCCAGCTAGAGGGGACATGCAATGTACATGTATCTTGAGGAAGGTCTGGGTTACATTGAAAGCGTCTTTAGTTACTAACCACATCTTTTCCTGGGAGCTCCTGAGCTCTCATGTCTCACAGGTTCCTCGGGATCGTTGGTGGGGATGGTCTGCTGCTTTGGAGTCTGCTTTTGCTCGAGGTTTCTGCCTCTTATAGGACGTTTTTGCTTGCCACTGTATCTTGGCTAAATGTTGCTTATTGCTGTGCTCATGATGGATTGATGTTGGGTCTTTGTGGTTCTCAGGTCCTGGCTATAAAGATCTCCTCTTCAAAGCATTCTGGCTCTATGTGCTGGATGGAGAAAGGGATGCCTTCCACGCAGACATTGGTTTCCAGCAGCGCTCTGGAGCTTTGATGTCTTTTTGTTTCACCAGGCCTTCAATACCAGAGCTCAATACTTTCATCGGTTTCCAGAGGAAGTCAGGAGCTTTGATCTTCATTGTTTCACCAAAACTTTGCTATATCCTGGAACACAGGAAGGCTCCTTTCCCCTGAGTGACTCCTATTTTCTGTGAAACAGTAGGAAAGAATCAAGTGGCAACCTCCGGGGTTGGAAAATGAAGCCGACAAGGAAGTGCAAAAAAACTGCAGTTCCTCGAGTGTCCACTTGAGGCCCCCTAACGTAACAGTTACATCTTAAAAAGCTAATTTTGATTGAAGAAATTAACACGTTTACAGTCTGGTAAATAAAACAAAAAACTGTTTTGGTCTGAATATTTCATGTCCTTATCGACACACATACAAGGATTCCTCTGTTTTTGATTTTCTGAAGAGTTGTTTACAATAAGGGGCGTGGCTGATCTGACTGATGGCTGAGCATATTGTCGCTAAGTGTCGGGAGGCTTTAGACCCACCTCAGCTCAAACTCTTTGCATGTTTCTAGATCTACCACAAGGTCGTTTCAAGTCAGCGTTTCCCAATATGGCTGCAACCATCATCAAGCTTCAAAACTCCCCTTCAATGACCAATGGGTGACGTCACGGAGACTGCGTCCATGTTATATACAGTCTTTTGGACTGCAGTAACGACAAAGACTTTACCTGCTCATAAAAACGCTAATCCTGATGCTGGGTTCATCACTGTTTAAGCATAACAGAAGTGATTGTCTTGCATTATATCCCAATGATTTCATGTAGCTGGATTTTGCATTATATCTATTTGTATTTTTGTCTTTTCTTTACAGATGAAAACATTAAATTCTTGTAAGGATTCTGCAACTTTTGCAGGTACACATGAAAAGTAGGAATGCTCCCGTCATAAAAATATTTGTGTTTTATCCTCTCTTTATTTCTCATGCTTTACATTTCAGTATAATTCAAATGCACCTTTTATGAATTATGTATTCAAATTTTCAATAATGCACGCAAAGCAAACCAGCTTGAAATGTAAAGAATATTTAAGAGAAGTGTTGTCCCTACTTTGCTCTGAGGTCATAAATATTTGATGTTTTTCAGCTTCTCTTATAATGATTCCCCAGCTTCCCTGTAACATCTTAGCTTTAGTTCACACTTTAAACAAACTCATACTTTAACCTCGTCTGATTGTTTCTTTCTGCTGTTAAACCAACAGAGTCTGCAGCACCACTGTCCTGTTCAATCAAAATGTATGTGGGTTATAAAGCTGCATCTGTCAACAACAAAACTTAAAATTGGATCATCATGTTTAAAAGAAACCCTGACCCAGCACACTACATCTACCGAGTCTGCTTTTCAATTATTCATTTCAATAAAACATAAAGTTGCAGTTTTCACACTTTCTGTCAGTGAGGAGAGTCAACATGTTTTATTTAAGCTCATAGTGACCACACACTTTGTCCTTCCTGTGGACACAGAAACTTCTCTACATGTAACTTTTACTAACTCATGAATAAAACATTTCTTAATGGCTCTTGTTTGGCGCTGGATTCAGGAAATTTAATCTCATACTTGAGCAAGCAAAGCTTTCAAGCAAACCAAACTTGGTTATGCTCTGTTCATAGCTGGATTATAGTGGATGATATGTAATGAAGGAATGTTCAGATAAGAAGAGTTTCATTTTTTACATAATTACACAAAACTTCATGTCCTATACTGAATTGGTTCCCAACCTTGGGTTCTGGCCCCCTTAGGGGGTCGCTTGAGACTTTGTCTGCTCTGCAGATTGTCAAAATTAGATTTTCACATTAGAAAAAAATTATGTTAAAACATGACTGTGAAATGTATACAAATGTCTTCTGGTAAGAATGAGTGTAAAGGCATATAGTGGTAGGATTTTTATCAATGAAAACTATTAAAATGTATGCAGATTTTTTTATACAAATGATCACTTTTGATTGTGTGGATCCTCAGCTTCTCTATTTGGACTTTCACACATGCAGAAATCTCCTGGAAAACTATCTATAATATTTGCAGGAGGAGCTGTATGTGTGAATGCAAACAGCCACATTTTTCTCTTGGACTTCACACCGAGTTTCTCCTGCCAGACCCTTCGTTTTTTTTCCGAAGCAAATCAGAGTGAGCTGATGTGGGAATGCAGCAGGATATAATCCAGAGAATTCACCTCGAGTCAATGGGAGTTGGAGTGACGTTTATATCCTGTGACTGGAGTCAGTGCATAGACTGTCTACGACCGCTACGATCTCTGTGCACGTAATGAAACGGCTGCATCATGTTTTCTGTTCTTCAGTATGTTGTTCCCCGCTCTTTTGTTGACATTGTCATTCTGTTCAACTACACGTAGCATTGATATTAAGGCACATATTCTCATTATAGCGTCGTATAGCGGACTCTGTTGCTTCGTCCACTACTTCCATGTTGTCCCCCCCTCCCATCTGAAAGGGATAGTCTCCCACTGTGAGGAGCGTATGTGAACAACCAGGTCTGGAGAATATCCGGACAAGTCCTCCTGAAATGATCTAGATATTTTCAGGAGTGCACATGTGAAAACAACTTAAGATCCAAGTAGGGGGCTCCAAAAGATCGTGAAACACTCCCCAAGTATATTAGACATCAGAAACTATCAAGCAGCATTTGAACTGAAAATGTCTTAGATAAATTGTTTATGAGGTAAATAATAACCAAGTGAGAGTTATGGTGATTTTCTTACAAACTTTCAGAGAGACTTCTTCTTTCAACTGGTGGAGATGCCCCCTGATGGTCATTAGGAAGAATGCAGGTTCGATGCACACCTGCATGGGCTTTATTTTTTAAATGATGAGGCTGCATCCTCTTGGTATTTACATCCTTTCACCAAATCAAAGTAATGACAGATAAAAGTCCTCATTTCACACACTGGCAGGATGAGGATTTGAGGCTAAGCTAAAGGATTTCACAGCTAACTGTGCACTGAATTAAAGTGATCAAGTGGAGCAGGACGGACAAAAAAAAAAAAAAAAAGATTAAGTACCTTAAATAGCTATTGGATAAATTTACTCCTGTGTCCTGAGGAAATATTTTAAGTCCACTCTGAATTCAGTGTGCAGCAGAGGAGATGAACACGGCGCTGGTCATCATTTAGAGGAGGAGAGAGAAAAAGCAAGGAGAGGATGTGAGAGGAGAGAAGGGACCAAAAGATGTTTGGTGCCGAGAGGAAAAACTAGATTAAGTATTCATGTTTCTCAACATAATCACACAAATTAACTTTACTTGTTTTAAGTGTTTTTTTCAGTGTTGTACTCGAAATCGGTCTTGGTTTCAACACCACTTTTTTGAAGGTCTCGATCTTGTCTCAGAATCGAAAGCATTTTTACTCGCTCTTGTCTCGGTCTCAGACTCGGCAGACTCCGTATTTTAAATCAAGACCACTCAAAACCACCACTGACAGGCTATTTTTACATCATTATTGTGATTAGAAGGAAAACACCTCTTTCTAAAAAGAACAAATAACTTCAATTAATTAGTAGTTTGATGTTTATCCTTCTGTTACGGCAGCAACCTTTACGTTGTTTCGGTCTCAGTGAGTGACACACCTGTTGCACACAAGATGATGATTTTTCATTGATATTTATGGTCTTCTAGTCTTGACTCGGTCTCGTCCTGTCTTGGTCTTGGTCTTGACTCTCTCTCAATCCCTTAATCTCCTGGTCTTAATCCCGGTCTCGGAGCACTCTAGTCTCGGTTACTGTGGTCTTGACCACAACACTACCTTTTGCTCTTTCCTGTTTAGAATCAATTCTCGTGATATTTATGAAAACAAGAAAATGGAATATGTTGTTTATGATCTTCATTTGGGTAAAACTTTGGTTAAATGATGACTACAAGAAGGGAGGCTCTACTGAAAAAGAGTTCTCGGTGCAGCTTAAAACAACTAATAAATGATCATGTACTCGTTCATCTTTTGGACTTAGTTAAACCTTGAGAGAGACAAGGAAGAGAGCTCTAAAAAACAAATCAGAAGCAGTTGTTTGAGGAGTAAGTCATTTACTAAATACGATAGGAGGCAGGGACTGTGGAAGGGACTGTAGGAGGATGCTGATTGACTTCATTAGAATCTCATTTGTTTGCAGTAGTCACTCCAAAGACTCACGATTAAACTGTCTGTTTTTCCCTGGAGTTTCAAACTGCTTGCAGAGCATCTTTAAAAGCTGCTACACCTGCCTCATGCTTCCTTTAATTACCACAAAACAAAAACATACAAACCCAGCAGCGTCTCCCTGCAGCCACCCCGCTCCTTAACTGTCTGAAGTTGTGCACATGCCCAAAGTGAATTAAAATCTGAACCTCAGCCTCCCACCACATGAGCACAGAAACAACAGTGTTTTATAATGAGAGCCTGAGCCAGAAGACCTTTATCTGAGGAGGAGACAGGGAGAATAATGGCAGTAATTAACTGAGTGTTACTCCTCAGCATGACCCCCCTTGAGGGGCCCTCATGGTGACACCTCCTCCTCCTGCCTAAATCGACACCTCTGTCTCGCTTGACATGCTTCATCAAAACACTGTCTATTTTCCACTCTCCCCTTCAGTATGCATCCTAGGAAACACTCTTTCAATCACACTTCCCAACAACCAAAAAAACACAATACTCATTGGGCTCACTGTCGCCAAGAAAGCAATCCTCCTCAACTGGAAAAGCAGAAAAAAACTAAACACCTCAGTATGGATAGACCTCTTTGTCGAACATATCACCATGGAAAAACTTACAGCATCCATCCACAATAAAACACATCAATTTCTAACAACTTGGGAGCCAATCCTCACCTCACTACTTCCCGAACAACATGGTTCAAACCCCTGATATTCACTACCACAAATATAGACTCATACATACATACACACACACATAAATACACATACACAAAGACACACAACCTTTTTTTTTTGGTTTCCTTTCTGTATAATTATCACAATTTATTTTCCTCTTACCATCAAATTTAATATTTTCTTATTACTATTATTATTATTATTGTCTTTAGCCACCATTTTATTATGACCTATTTGTTGATTTATTTCCTCTCCTCCCTTATATTCATCATCAAAAATTGTCATCACAGCCACTCTCATTTTTCATGCATTTCTTTTTATTTATTTATTTTCTCCAATCCAGATGATTGTCTGTTTTTCTTTGGTTGCCTTTTTTTATTCATGTATTTTCTGTTTCTCATAACCATAATTACTACTGCTATACCACCCCGTGCCAACAAACCTTTGCTGTTTTTTTTTCTTTTTACTATTATTGTCATATTTATTATTATTTAGTACTATCTTTATTATTATTATTATATTTTTTCTCTTTTTCTGGTATTAGTGGTATGTTGAGGGGGATGAAGGAAGCAAGATAATGAGAATTAAAATGATACACTAGCAAATCATAGTCAAACAATCTGGACAAATTACATTATTATTACTACAACATGATCTGCACTATTTATACTACTGTCATCAATACATAACCCAACAACACACTACACTGGAACACAATTGATATGGTCCATTACCCACTTTTTTTGTTCTTTTTTATTTTATCATTCCTCAGTTATTCTAGTTTTCTTCTTTCCCTTTGTTTTGAATATGCTTTCTAGCCCCTCCTTGTTCAAGCTTGGCGGGAGGGTAGCAGTAGGCAACCCTATCAGCTGGTCCCCTCCGCAGGGTCTGGGGACAACTGAAAAAGAGGCACCCCTGCACCACACAATGACTGAAGTCTTGTCTTTGTCTATGCTGTGCATTGTATTGTTGTGTCTCCCCTGTCTCCTACATACTTTTGCTCTTGTCACGTCCCTCACTTGTCTTGTATTGTTCTGCATCACCTAATAAAAAACACTGTCTATTTTCAAAGCAGTGAACAGGAAGCTGTTATCGCTAAAGGCCCTGACTACCAAGCAGACGGCAAAGAACTAGTGGCGTCGAAGGTCTCCTGTGGCGTCGCCTCACATCTTGGGCAAAAAGATGGGCTAGAACATACCGCAAAGACTACAGCCGACAGCCAACCACCACATTTGTTCTGCACATGTGTGTGAGGAAATAACTCTCCATGCCAGCAGGGGGCGGTAGTCTGTTATTATGATACCAGAAGACCATTTTCACACCGCTGTTGCTCACCACTCGTATTATAGGTAGCCTACTGATGGAGAATAATGTCTGATAAAAAGTTGAAAATGGCGCTGGCGTTATACTGATAGCTTCAGCAGGTAGCCTAAAGAGGCAGGTGATAATAACAGAGTTCAGTCCTTAAAAGCAAGAGACATATGAATCCTTGGACTGAACTGGGGAAAGACAGAAGGCAAATTATTGATGCCAGCAGGTTAGAATCTACAGATTGCACACACAGTGATGAATTTAATGAACAATAAAAGCCCTAGAGTCACAAAAATCTCCAGATAAAAGAGGGAAACTCACACAGTAGAGCTGATGAGGGGCCAAACAGCCCAGAGGGAGAGGCAGACGGGAACCAGGAACAATGAGATACAACTTGACTTGGGGGACAGAAGGCTGAGATGATTTCTGGCATTACGACAAAGCAGGCAGGTCAGACGCAAACAGGAGGCAGCAACAGGGATCGGTCCAAGTGAAAGTGCTGGAAAGAGTTTCATAGAAAGGTGAAGAACAACAATCTGGCTAAGAGTGAGTGAACAAGAGAGGCTTTTACTGGCTTGATTGCAAATGAGAGGCAGCTGTGTGTACAGGTGAATAGAGTTAGTTGATGAGGTGGGCGTGGCCAGCAGGCTGAGTGGCGCACAGGTGAGGTGATAGGAAAGTTACAGGGAAGGGTCAAGGGAGCAGAATTTACAAAAGCTGGGGCCCCATATATAAACGGTGTGAAGATGTTCCATGCGTTGTGTTTCACAAACACACCAGGACGTATAAAAAAAACAGCTTGACGTAAGAATGTGAGAACCCTGATGCAAAACTCTAGACAAACTGTGTAAATGTGCGTGCCATCCCACAATATGTGTCATTTGGCAGTGCCAAACTAAAAAGAACCCAAACTCGCCAAATATACCAAAATAGAATTGACCAACTCAACTTTCTGAACTTTGTTTACAAAGGGGAAGGAATAAAAACTGATTTTTCACCAGTTTGATCTGTAATCTGGATGTTTGATATCAGAGAGAGGAGACAAAAACACATCTAAACCAACAGATGACATTCCTTATATACTGTACCAAAACCAAAATCGCAAAACTGCAAAGTGTTCTCTATTTATGTGACATGGAGATGTTCACACACATCAGGGACTAGTTGCTGAACATAATGTGTGAACTACATGTGTGAAAAATGTATACACTCTCTTTTGCAGCCAGCCTCAAGTGGCCACAAGAGGAACTGCAGTTTTCAGCACTTCTGTGTTGCCCTCATTTTAAAAGCCCGAGATTATCACTTCTAAGACCGAACAAAGTGACATTACAAGAAATAAAAAGTACATCTATGTTTTACGAGATGTTAGTCTGCAGGTTGTGTTAACTGCTCTCGTTACAAAGTCATAACCTCAACATCTTTATTACCTGCCCGAACTTTACGAGATGTTAATCTGCTGCGTGGCGAGCATGTGTTCCAGTGGTGCTCCGCGGCGCACTTTGCACACGGCCGTGGCAGCCTGCAATAAATCACCACGCCTCGATAATTTATGAATACGAGCAAAAAGGGAGGCGTGATCATTATGTTTTGACAGCTCACAGGGCTGCTATCCACGGTACATATATTAGATCAGCCAGGTTAACACTTTCATCTCTTCAGCCCTTTGCCATGACAAATTACAGCACGCTGCTGCAGGGCGCTCCAGCACAGCACAGAGGGGGTTTTTTTCTGTCTTTATGTACAGCAACAATGCGTGAGGATGAAATATTTATTGCATTGTTTTTCTTTTGATGTGAAAATTGCAGGAAGTGCGAAAAATTAACTCTTTTTTTTTGTGTTTTAAGTCACACGAGAGCATCTTGAAATCTCAGCAGATTGAATGAAATTGGTTTTTTGAATTCATCTATTGAGACGCATGCAGGTTCTTTTTGACCGGACAAACAGACGCTGCTGTCATGCTGCTGAATACAGGTCCAGAAACCAACTTCACATTTTCCTGCTACAGCATGCCTCTCTCTGCAGGAACATGTCCTTTACACTATCCTGCATCGGCATCGCCTTGCTCTCACTTATTTGGCTTCCTGGGAACTGTTGGTGCATAAGCCTCACAGCTTGCCCTTAATTGCGATTTAATGAGCATCCCCCGCTCATCTATTAGCATGATTCAACCTTAGTATTTCTGTATGATGTTATGAATGCTGTCAGCATGTGCTATCAACCTCTTATAAGAAAAAAATACATCCTTTTGACATAAAAGCTCCTCATGAAGGCTTTCATGCTGAGGCAGTAATCTTCCTGTGACTGTGAAAGAGAAATCAGTCAAAGTAGAAAGAGGAGATCAGAAGCAGACGAGCTCACATCTCTGCTACACAACAGACAGAAGCAGCAGGTGTGAGGTGGGAATTTTCACGTCTCTTCCTCAGGAAATCACACAAATTAAAAACAACCTATTACTGTGAAATAAAAGTCACAGAGGAGTTATTTTGTATTTGGAATAACACTTCAGCCTTAATGATAAAAAAAAGTGTTGGAATTAAGACTCTTTGAAGGGAGTGGGATCTTTGTATCAGTCACTTCCTGTTGCTAGGTTACTAAAGTTAGCTCATGAAAATTACAATGATAAAAACATTGTAAAGGATTCATGCTTATTAACATTATCACCAGCTCCAGCCTTGGAAATTGTACTCATGAGATGGGTCAGGTTAATTTCTCCTCCGCCATTGTTGTCGACAAAATTCATATCGGAAGTCTTGCCCCGTCTTGATTTTGATTGGTCGGTGGAGGAGAAGTGGCATTGATAAAAGTGGTTCCAATTGTTGAACTGTTTTTAACTGAGAGCTCTGCAAGTGCCGCGACAAAAATCTGCATGGTTTCATTTGTAAAGTGGTCGCTGCCGGCGCAAGAAAACAACAACAGTGGCCTTTTTTCTTTTTGAGCTGATGTTTTTTCTCAACATATACATGCTTCCAGGTCTTCCATTTTATATTTAAAAACATTTAATGACACCAGCTCCTTGAGTTGAACACACATTCATCTGTTTAATGTTTAGTTGAGTGGATGAGCTAATGGTAATTTAAGTGTTTGTTCTGATGTCATTCTCTTCCCATTTAAAGGCAGGGCCAATCATTTTCTCTAGATTCATTTTTTAAGATTTTGTTTGAAATTGTCTGTAGAGCCTGACGGACATTAATAACTCATGTGCTTTGAAAAAGGAACTAAGAAGCAGCTGTATCAGTTTGTAAGCCTGTAAAAACTTTGAACCAATCACACGCCTCCCTGTCTCCCTGCTCGTTCTCTACCTCTTGTGTGCACGAGCCCACACTCAAAGGGCGTCACCGATAATGGAGGTTATACTGTGAGTTTGTCGTTGGAAGTTGTGAGCAGTAAAATAGTCACTTTTTTTTAACATGAATTGTGATAAAGTTTAGTGTTTACTTACCGCTGAATGAGACATGAGACGATGTAGTTTCTACACAATGCAAGAGATGAGCTGAGGTCCACTTCTGGAGAAACTGCGCTCATGCATTTAAGTGAGGGGCGTTTCTTTGGATGGGTGTAGATGGAGCACTGAGGGAACCCTGCCTTTAAGTCATGTTACACTTGGCTGCAGCCAATCTGTGAACTCAGCAGTCTATAAAGCTGTGAGAAGCTAACTAGTTACAGGCGGGCGAAGAAGTGGAGCTGAGATGGGCCTTAAGCCTCTCCACATACAACGGGTCTGTCTGTCACTCAAATCAGTCAATCCCCTAATTATGGAACTTTGAAAACAACCTTTTAAGCTCATCGTTCCCTCTGTGATGTAAGTGAGGAGCTGAGGCAGGTCATATGACCCGCCTGTTAGTCAGGTCGGCCACACACCTTATTATGGTTATCTTCTATCCCTCATACAATCAAAACAAATGATTTCTTTTAAAAAAGTGTGTGCTGATTAACACACTTTTGATTGGGTGTGTGTGTGACGTCTGCAGCCTTTAGAGGAAACTTAGAGGACTGTAGTTTTCTCTGCACTTCTTCATTTGGTTTGTTTTTCCACACCGGAGGTTTCCCCTTGGTTCACAACAACACTGCAGGATTTAATATAAGTCAAGAGTCTCTAACACATAAGTCAAGACCTGCAGCCTCCACTCAATAAACAATCAACAGAGCACATCAGTGAGCTCATTTCAAATATACAATGGTTGTTCTGCACATCTTCAAATTGCTTCTCATATTAACTCTTGAGAGAAATTTACATTTTTATTAAATTTCCATCCTCACTTGTGTATATTTTTCAGCCTCTGCACCAAAAATCTACTCTCTCTCTCTCTCTCTCTCTCTCTCTCTCTCTCTCTCTCTCTCTCTCCTCAGCTTTAGGTGCTAAAGTGAAGGAACTGCCTTTGAGAACTTTACCTAATGATGAGTATTGATTTCTAATTTAATTTTCCCTTTTTTTTTTTACAAAAATTGCATGGGTAAACATTTTATTTTGTAGTTTTTCCAATAAAAGTCATCTGAACCAAACATTTGCATACACTCAGATTCACATATGAAAAGCACAAAGTCTTCTTCCCTCTTCTAATTATTTTAATTTGAACACGTGAGGACTGTATCATCTCCTCATTCCTCCAGAACACCAACATAACATAAAATAGATTGATTATGAGAGAAACATTTCCTCAACAGCGTGGCACACTTAAAAGCTGCAAACGGATGAAATTGGATCTCCAGGAAATAAGTGTCACCCCGGGGGGTAGCTCCTCATCCAAAGCAGGGAGAGAGAGAGGAGGAACAGGACTCTCCAGCTGAGGGGGGGTGGGGGTGGGGGTGAATCACTGATTGCTATTGGGAAGAGTCGATCGTCAATTGTGCAAGCGGGACGGTTTTTCCCTTCGTGTCTAATCTGAACAGGTTCGATGATCACGGACTCATCACTTCAACAACCTCATGATGATGTTTTAGCATCAGTGCTGCTGAGGGAGTCTATATGTTGTTAGTTTGATAAGCTATAACAAACAGAAACACACACATACAGTAATTAAAACAACCCAAAATATTTATAAAAACCCAGCAGCAAGTACTTTTCTATTTGATAGAACAACAGAACAGATGCACATTGTGACACAACGTACTACACCACATGCCCTCATCCCATTCTCCTGATGAGCTATGGCCCTTAGTTTCCAACCCAACCAAACCAGTACGGCCACCTTTACAGGCCCTGACACACCAAGCAAACCGGCAAAGAACTAGGGTCGATGGAAGGCCGCTTGTGGCGTCGCCTTTTGTCTTGGCCAAAAAGTTGCACTAGAACACCTCAAAGACTACAGATGGCCAACCACCACGTACGTTCTGCGCAGGACTGAGGGGCGGCGTTTTCACACCGCTGTCGGTCACCACTCATATTATAGGTAGCCTACTAATGGAGAATAATGTCTGATAAAAAGAAACCGCACTAATGGGTGAAAGCATGGATACTACGGTGGCATGCTCAAGGGCTTTACTGAACCTGTGTCCAGAGCTGGAGAGAAATGAAATCCTCTGAACA